TGGTGGATGACAGTGGATGACATACACCAGAAACTGGGACTTGCCAGTACTTCACAGCACAGTCAATTATAGAACTTTGTAATCAGCGTGGGTTTCCCTTCTCTTTCTCAGCAACTTGTATCAGGAAAGTTCCATCATCGTATTAAAGAAGCTAAGCCATATTCCAACACCATTTGGTTATTAGGGGGGTCCTTGTGTAACTGCCTTATAACTCAACATTACCAATAAAGCGATGATTCTAGTCTTGTGTTTATAAATACACTTGTTCAGTCATGTCCCTGACATGGCACAGCTCTGCTTAGGGAACGAGGGACATGGGAGTAACCAGGTAGAGGAAGGACTGGGCCTGCCTTGAACCATGTGGAGGGAGGGGGGAGCTGAAGACAGAATTCTCTCAGGAGGAGTATGGGCCAGTACATCCCAATTATTATTTTAGTTAGTTTTTGTTGTGACAGTGTGGAAGGAAGGGCATAGAGTGGGACAAAGATAAATCAGTTGGTCATTTTTGAATTCTAAAAATGGATCTCTCTGTAGTTCTTAAGGTCGGTTGGAACTGATATTTGTCTAGTATATCCACATACTGTATCCCTGCCTGGTGATACCATGTCTCTAAATAATTCTGCCATGAAACATAAAAGACAAATAAGGGAAAAGCCATTCCGCATTACACAGAGAACATTATGGTGTCCCAAAACAGTAACAAAAGATTGCTCTCGTGTCAATATTTTATCGCACGTGCAGGTCACAAGGCCCTCGGTTGCTCCCTGTTTTCATCTGTCGGTCTGAACGTTCTGTATTGTAAACCATGGCTGGGTTGCTAAAGTGCCTGCGAATCCCGATGTGAAAAAAGCTTGAGATGAAAGCTCAGCATAACGTGTATAACAAAAAAGAAGAAGAAAAAAAAAAGACATGTATTGATATGCCTATTCTTTTTTTTTTTTTTTACTGGCACATTGTATTTTTGCGTCGACTTGTTTTTAGAAAATACGTGAAGTGTCCACACGTACCTGTGTCTCTTTTGCATTTCTGTGTAATGGTTCTATTTGTTAATAATGTGCAGCAATGTTTAAATGGGGTTACCAATGTAAGCACGGTGACCTTGGATGACAGTGGCTCTTTCTCACAGCCTTCCCTGAGCTGTGAGAAACAGCTTTCCCTGTACATATGAGACTTCTAATAAAAGGCATATTTCTTCCTGTTCTTTGTGGTGTCTGTAGTTTTCCTGTAGAACCTCTCCTAGCTGTTTTTTTTTTTAAGTATATTAACAGATGTGATTTTTTTTTCATATTTAGTGAAAGTAGAAAATTTCTTATGACTTTTGGGTGCACACATGGAAATGGATGATTGATTACTTATTTGAACACCTGAGGAGAGAGGGATGGAAAAGACAGGAGCTCTTTCTTAATAGACAACTGGAAGACCCAGGCAACGTAAAGAAGCCTGAAGAATTCTGAACTGAAGGGGCCAAGATGCTAGGACAGAATAAAAGAAGAATCATACAGTAAGCTACATAATATTTCCATTGCTGCCCTTTGCCCTTTTGGGGTTGTTTTGGCAAGCCAGGTATTTTTGGTGAGTTCTGGCCTCACTTACAGCAAGCCCAGAAAAAGGTCCAAATTCGACTCTCCTTCCTATACTGACCTGGATCTTATTTTCCAGATCACAAAACAATGTTTTGCTACTTCTTTTAGCTGGATTAATAATTCGTACAGTGAGTCAAAGGCATGAAGGGCAATACATCCCTAGGCGTGTCTCTGCACAAATATAGATGTGGTTCCCAGCCTAAGGTCACGCTTTGCAAGGACCCATCCAAAATGCCCTGTTTGTGGGGGTGCCCAGCATCAGTTGGTTTTCATGGCAGCCCTCATCTTGTCACCAAATCAAAGTTCTGTCACCTTTAGTAAGGAGAGGTGCGTGGCAAGCCAAGAAAATGTCACCTTTTGGGCTCTGATGTGCATGGCAGGTGTGGGGAAGTGGAAAGGGAAGATGGACAGATTTGTTGATTTTGTCACTGACCAGGAGGCCCATTGCAAATGCCAAAACTCACAGACTATTTGTCTCAGCTGACAGTGAGAGGCAGAGCAGGAGAGGTAATGTAGAATGTGGTGGGGACTCAAATCACAAAGGGATTTGTGAATTAAAACTGACAATTTGAGCCGCGCTGGGGAGAGAAGTAGGAAGAGAGATGAGTCAGTGTAGGAGTGAAAATATACCCTATCCATTAATCAGTCCTGTCTAAGTGAACTGACTTCCCTGGTCCAGAACCCTTCCTTCACAAGGACTTGAGGGGATCACCCAGGAAAGCATGTCCCTGAGAAGGCCAGGCCAGATGTGCACTGGCCTCTGCCCAGCACCCTCAGAGAGAAGCCCTGATTCCACAAAAGCGGGCCGGTAGGTGGGCCACACTTGGCTAGGGATGGAAGTTGAGTAACTCAGATATTCCTTGGAAAAGATAGTTCCTTTATGACATTATTAGCACTCTTAGCCTATTAAGACCATAGATATTTATATTAAAAGCATAAATTATAAAATCAGCCTTACCTAACTGTACTAGCATCACAGCCACATAATGAAATACTGAACCCCCGCCTCCTTAGGAAGTGAAGAGAGGTTTATTTTGGCTCACAGTACTGGAGATTTAAGTCAAAGATTGGGTGACCCCATTGATTAGGACATCAGAGTGTGAGCCTGTGTTGAAGCCAGTGTTCACATCAAGAGCCAGAAAGCAAAGAAAGGGAGAAAGACCAGGATCCACAGTCCCCCTTCAAGGGCATACTGCTTAGGTTCTGCCTCTCAAAGATTCCACAACTTCCCAATAGCACCACCCTGGGGACCAAGCCTTCAACACACGGACCTATAGGAAATACTCATCTAATCCATAACAATAATATAAGTATCATATTTAACTTAACTGCCACTCATTTCTTTCTTTGTAGTCAGTTAGAACAAAATCAGCTCATAGCTGCAATCCCAGCGGCTGGGGAGGCTGAGGCAGGAGGAACAGGAATTTAAAGCCAGCCTCAGCAATTTAGCAAACCCCTAAGCAACTCATCGAGACCCTATCTCTAAATAAACTATATAAAGGGCTGGGGATATGGCTCAGTGATTGAACGCCCCTGAATTCAATCCCCTAGTACCAAAATAAAAGCACAAAGGCAGCCCAGAGATCAAAGCATCCCCCAATTAACAGAGTGATCTCACTGAAGGAAACCAGGATATGGGCTTCTCAGGTTTGCTACCAAGAAAGTCAAATATATCAAATCACAAAGAGCAAGCCAAATAAACGTGGGTTTTTTTTTTTTTTTGTCAAGTAGGGGCAATTATTCCAAATTCCTTTTGAAAATAGGTGGAAATTTCAAACAGACAAACCACTTTCTCAGAATGTTCTTTGTGATTGTTCACCAGAATGAGTCTGAGAAGGAGGCGGCCACAAGTGAGAGACCAGGCATCACAGTGGATTCTTTGCCCATGTTATTGCTCCGGATTTACCCAAATATGGTGGTCACTCTCAAGACTGCTCCCCCTCCTCCAGTGTTTTTATTTGAAGGTATACATATTTGTACATATGGGCATAGGTGTCATATGTAAAGAACATCTTAATTCCATATTTGTCTATTTTAATATGTTCCTGTTTTAACTCATGAGTCCTTTATGCTCAGATGTTGCCCCCAAGTCAAAAACAAACTAAGATTAAGCCGATAATACTTGTCTCTGGTTTTGGTTGCTAATCATGGAAGGATAAGTTAGTAAGGTTATACTAACTATATACAAGCAATAAATATTCTCCTTTGGATAGCATAGTGTGCCATAAATTTAAATGTCTGTTTAATTGCTCTGTTTTTTCCTTCTTTTTTTTTTTTTGAACAAAGATTACTCCAATGATGACATGTCAGGTAAGGAGATAATCTTCTTTTCTTACTTCAGAGACAGGGTATCATCTTAATAAGGCAGCTAATAAGAGCGTTCACAGGTCAGAAAGTGAGAGTGACGGAGATGCTTTAATGGAAATCTACCTTCAGCTCTGAGTAATGATTAGATCACAAAAGCTGATGGAATTAAATTGACTTTTTTTAAAAAAATGTGTAGGGGATGAAGATTGTAATTCTGACTGTAAGTTTTCTTTTTCCCTTTTTAAAAACAAGAAACTGATATTCTGCTTCAGAGCTTATGGGTAAAAGGGTAGATTGCTATTGCCTTCCACATAGAAAGAACTTATTTTCCCATTAGATGAGTTCTTATCTCCAATTATCTTCCCAGCCAGCATTTATGCCTCCTCCTCTCCTTCTTTCTTAGTGTTCATATCCCATTCCACAAGGTAAAAATCTATGAGTACCTTTTGTCAGTAGATTTAATTTCTTTAGGCTAAATTCTATAGTAAGGAAGTCTACTTTTAAAGGAGTCTATTGTGGATTCCTTAAGATTAGGCATCCTTTGTTTAAGAACATTTTTTTTTTCCTTTCCCATGTTAAGATTTAAATGTTCAGTTTTTATTTTCTGATTTTTTTTTTCTAGTACCAGGGATTGAACCCAGCGGCACTTAACCACTGAGCCACATTCCAGCCCTTTTTGTATTTTATTTTGAGACAGGGTCTCACTGAGTTGCTTAGGGCCTTGCTAAGTTGCTGGCTTTGAACTCGTGATCCTCCTGCCTCATCCTCCTGAGCTGCTGAGATTATTTTCTGATTTTAATGTTTTTGAAAGCAAACTTTATGTGCTTTAGCCTGCCCCTCTCCGTATGGGTCTATCAAATACTGGACATGAGAAAAATGCAAGAAACAAAGTACTTGCCTTCCCACAGTGAGGTAGAACAATTACTCATTTTCTTTCTTAGCACTTATTTGCTCTCAGGATCAATTAAATGTGTGAAAAAAACACTCTTTCTGAATTGCTCAATGAACTGCTGAGTCATCTCAGCAGTTGGCTTAGAAAAGCCATTTGGAGTGTGCTCCTGGACACTGTGGATGCGTCACATGATCTGATTCTCCCTGGGTGTCACCAACCTGGATGGATCAGCTGCTGGAAGATGGTGCTGTTAGCAGGAACTCTTCTTCTGTCTCTGAAGGAAAGTTCTGCTGCTTGCTAGAAGGCTCCTTCTGAAACTGAAGTTTGGCTTCCGTGAGGGATTTTATGATGCAAATATTTTAAGTACAACTTTGAAGGTTTTGCCATTAAAAACAGTCTCACATGGCTCAGGGCCCAGCCGACTGCAAACTACAAGGGGGAAAAGTGCCATCTATTGCTGGCAAGTGACAGGAAGGAAAACAACACAAATTTCTAAACCAATCGTGACCTTGGCTAATGATCTGGTTTCAGGGTTCAGTTCATATCTGACTTGCTTTTATTCAGTTCTAGTTGTCAGCAGCAACATACTTATCATGGTTGTTTATGTTGAGATGAAATGGACAAAAACATCGGCCCTGCAACCAGAGATGGATCAGATTAGGGCTGGCCAATGAATGCGTGGTATTTTGGAATAAAACAACCCTTTGAACTCATCTTGTGAAGCCTCAAAGTGAATTTGTCCTACACGTGCCCTGACTTTGAACTTCATATCCTGACTTTTCTGAATTTTATCTGCTTGACTTGTCATCCACCGGAGCCCATGGAGCTCCCACTATGGTCCATGCAACCAAAGCATTCCCATAAAATCTGAACCCACAAACGGAGTCTACAAGCTGCCTCTGTTTTCTCACTTTATTTGGTCTCTTTATTTATGTAGCCTTTTATAATTTGCAAAACACTCTCATCTTTGCTTTTTGAGTCCACAGACACTTGGAAGAAGGTTGAAATCATAGTCCAATTTTATACCTGAAAAAACTGAGATTCCAGAATTTTGTGAGCTAGTCAAAACACAAAACCCTTTGTCCTGTCACCTACCACTGGGATCGATGCAAAGGTTTTATCAAAATCAAAGATTGTGTTGCAACAATATTAATTTCCTTTTTTGTTGGTAATCGTGCTTTTTATTGATGGCGACAAGAAGCACAACATAATGTATAAAGAGCTGTGAAATTAGTAATGCCATGAAAATAAATTCTATTCATCACAATACTATTTATATACTCTTGAAAAAATTATATATGTGTGTATATATATAATAATTACATATACATATGATGACTTATTCACACATTAGGCACAGTGTATCATATATTTTAAATGTCTATTGAAATAGACAATGCCAGGCTTTCATAGGGATTTGCAGACACCACCACAGTCTCTTGGTGACCAGTGCTTCATGTCATACCTCCTTTGCTTCACTGTTTAAGGTTCTGAGAGCAGTAAAGCCAGGTTTTAATGTTGAGAAAATGAAGAGTCTTATGAGATTGAAGATAGCGAACATGTTTTTAAAAATGAGTAGAACTTGAAACATGAAGGATGTAGGATACTGTAGAACACAGAATGGCCGCAGTAAAAAACCAATCCCAGCAGTTGAATTTCTGAAGCAGATGCAAACGAGACCCCAAATGCTAATCCAAAATAGAAAAGATCGTTGGGAGATTGTGAAACAATAACAATTTGCATTAAATCATCAGCTGCTTTCAGCACAGATGGGAAAAGCCTGTTACAAAATGTTGTAAGACATTTGCAGCGGGTTTCAAGCTGGACACGCATTAAAAACATTCTTGAGCTTTTCACACTGGGAATAAAAATGTGAATCATTTTTAGCGCAGATTTATTCTTTATATTTTCTTTTTTCCCTTGTATTTTATTTTACTTTTGGTAGAGACATGACATAGGAATAGCCAAGGGGAAATGATCCATTTGCAGAGTAGGATAGATAGAATTTATCTTCAAAGAGGTAGAATATTAATTATGCATAGAAAGAAACTTTTAGCTCTGAGACATTCCCAATGAAGCGAGTGGCTTATTTCACTCAAGATCCTAATCAAACACAGTTGTGATATCAGAGAGGAATGCTGGCAGTTGCTTAGTGAGTCACTCTGAGCGAGCATGGGGCAGAGTTGGAACGGCTCACTGCGACCCAAGATCCTCCCCTGGGGTTCCTTCACCTGTGTTTCAGCTGGCAGTGAGGGTTGTATCCATCCTCTGGTGGCCAAGGTGATTTCTCCTCCATTGCTCCTTGAAGTACACTGCAGGGGTTGAAGGCAGAAGCCAAGAGCTGATGCTATGGGCCCATCTCCTCTGATCCCACACCTCTAGAGAAGATCCCAGACAGCCACAGACTCTCCCGTCTGGGAGAACTGGCTGACCCCAGGAAACTAGTTTCCAATAACTAATCTGGCTGAAGGAGGCACTTCCCCCGGCTCCAGCTCTCCTTCCCGTAAGCCAGGAAATGTGCTCTCCCTGCATTAGGGGGATGGCTCATGAGGGACTTCTAATCTCTGATTGGTGACTTCATATGCTATGTTAGTGTCTTCAGCTGTGTATCTTAGATCCTTTTAGGTGTTCCCTCTGGATTAATTGGAAATCGTGGATATCCTGTTTGTGTGATCTACTCAGGCTAATTGTAAGGCCGTGAAAGGGCCAATATTGATTTTTTTTAAAAGAAGAAGCCACTTTATAGGAACTGAAACTTAAAATGTAGAATTCAGAGTCGCTTTAGGAAAAATCATTATCTCTTATTTATTCATTCATTTGTAGCTCCCGCTCTATGTTGGGTGCTGTGTGAAGTGCTGGGAACACGCTAGAGACTAGCATGGCCTTGTTCTATGGGTCATGGCTGTATAACATCCAAAGGGTGGCACTCAGCCTGGAGAAAACAGAGCAGGATTCAGGGACAGGCAATGAGAAGGAGCAAGGGAGCTGCCACTCTAAGTGGAGGGGACGGGGACCCAACTGAGCAGAAATCTGAAGGAGGGGGTGCATCCACGTGGCTATGTGAAACAAGAGCATGCCTCAAGGAAGGAACAGCTCAGGTGCCCGAGTAACTGTATGCCTGCCACTTTCAGAGAATAAAAGTGGGCTCACGCCTAGCGTTTATTTTGTCAGGTGAGTATAGATGAGGAAGAGAGGAACAAAGAGTTTATTATGATCATTATCATATAAAAAGTGAAAAGGAGAAAAGGAATCATGTGAGGACCCCAAACAATGTTCATCAAGGAATGCTTGGAGTTGGGGGATAAGAGGTGCAGTTAGTGGGGTGCTCTAAGTAGAGATTCTGGAGGGAATATTGGTGAGAAGGATACGGACAGGCATGACCTGGCTCATGGTGGTCGACGTGAAGTGGAAGACAAGATCCATGGAGGTGAAGCCATCCAAGAACGGAGGCTAATATGTCAGGAGGATCTTCCTCATGAGGATCTGAGTTAGTGAGGTTTTCATTGCTGTGACCAAAATAACTACAAGAACAACTTAGAGGGAGAAAGGTTTATTTTGGCTCACAGGTTCAGACATTTAGTTCATGATGGGCCAAGTCTATCGCTCTGGGCCCAAGGGAGGCAGAACATCAGGAAGGAAGGGCATGATGGAGGAAGGAGGGATCCCTTCCAGGACACACCCCCAGTGACCCACCTTCTCCAACAGGGCTCCACCTTCCTCCAGTTACCACCCAGTTAGTCCATTCAAATTGATGATGTTACAGCTCTCATGATCTAACCACTTCACCTCAGAATATTCCCTACATGAACATAGGACCCATGAGGGGACAGCTCAAATCCAAACCATGACCGTATTGAAATCAACATCAACAACAAATACAGGTGTAAGACAGGGATTCAGGTGCTAGAATCTTCACAGAGTGGAAATCTATAGAGGATTGCAGCAAGGAGTGAAATAACACAGTCTAATTAACAAGCTTCAAAGGACCAGTGTGGGCGGGCTTATTGAGAAAGCAAAAATAATATCCCAGAAGTGTCAATAAGAACTAAGACACCTATCCTATCTCCAATCCCCAAATATGCATTGTGTGAGTGAAAAACAGCCTCCACGGGGAAAGCTGTGCATGTTATTAGAGCAAGAAGAGGGTGGGGGGCATACCAAGCCTTGAGGGAGGGGGAGATCACTTTCTGAGAGTGACCTAATGAGGGGAATTTCTTGGGCTTCTTCTGATATCTGAAGGAAACAGGGTTTCAGGGCAAGGTACTGTTCTGTGATCTCTGAGAGGAGGTTCAGTTCTAACCATTCTGTGCTTTTCAGGTGGCAAGAAGTAGGAATCTTGCAACACAGGCACCTCAGCCCAGGAGCAAGGTGTCTTCTATCCCTGCAGCCCAAATTCCCAAACCTGCTTCCTGCCTTGTGCCTTGATGACAGGCATGTTCATTCATTAATTAATCAAGGGCCTACTACATAATAGTTGATGTTTGTCACTGGGTATCTAGTGGTGAACTAAAGAGACCTTGAGGTTCCCGTGAACATGACAGATCAAAGGCAAAAAATAAACTTACTGATACACTAAATAAACACACTAATAGATGCAGGATGGTAAATTGTGATCAGAGCTCTAACAACAAAATTACTATGAGAGAATAATAGGGGAGAGGACATAATTAAGACGGAGGACGGTGAAGGTTGGTGGGGAGTGGCTTGTAAGCTGAGTCTTGAAGGATACTGAAAACTTAAGAAAAATTTGGAAATATATCAAGACCCCAGAAACTGTATGTCCTATAAAACTGAGGTTTCATTTAGAAGAATTTAGTGAATCAAACCCAAAAGGTGGACAGACTTACTCCCAAAGGTGTTAAATGATATTGTTTATAAGAGAAAAATTAAAATTAAACATCCTAAAATTGGGAAATGGCTAAGTAAATTATGATATGAAATGTAGTAGTGTATCATAGTTATGAAAATTAATGTTTTTGAATAAATCCACTATCATAGAAATATAATCATAATATATGTTCAATAAAAGATTCCAGCACATAAAGTTGTACCCACATTGTGGTTGTATTTATGTGCATGTGCATATATTATTTATGTGCATATATTATATAATATATATTACATATATTATATATCTATATACACACATCTGAATAAAGGGAGGAAATAGCCCCAATTTTAACAAGTTATCACTGAGTGTTTGGATTAGGATATGTATATACTTGTTTAGCTATATCTCCATTAAAATAAACAAAATCAATGTATTTTTAAAATTTTGCTTAAAAAAAAACACTTTAGTACCTTTAGTCCTTTCCCTTGCTGCTTGGCATGAGCTGTGTCACACAGGTTGACAGCATTTAATCATTGCTTGGGCACCCAGGACTTTTGTGTGAGAATGTCTAACGTCAGAACAGGAAAAGGAGGCCATCTGAGTTGGAGTAATTCAGGATGAGTTGGTGGAGGAGCGGGGGGACTTCAGTTCGTGCCTTCATGACAGGGTGGCTGGTGTTTGGGACGGGTGAGAAGGGAGCAGCCACAACCGTGAAGAAAACCACAGGGTGAAATGTGCAGAAGTGGAGTTCAGCCAACCATGGAAGCAACCATGTGGAGACAGCTATGGGGGACTTGGGCTGAACCAGGAAGGGAAATGCTTGGCCAGTGGGGTGGAGCCAGCTGCAGAGACATTGAGACAGCAGGTGGGGAGCTGCAGGCTCTGGAGCAGTTATTTATTCATCCGTTCACTGTATTTAAGTGTGTCAGGCTCTTTTTTTTTTTTTTGGACAGGCATGTTTGAGGAGATGGGGACACATTAGTGCAGAAGTCCCACAAAGCTTATATTTGAGGGTCTTGCGGGGAAACGGAGCTTGGGGGAGATAAGCAATAAACAACGAGATCCATGGAAAATACAGTGCACTAGCAAGTTGTGTGTCATTGCTCAGAGCAGAGCAGAAATGAGGAAGCGTGAGAGTGCACATGGGTGCTGGGGCCAATGGCCTGTTCTACAGGGTGACACAGCAGGCCTCCCTGAGGGCTCACTCCTGCAAAGGCTGGACAATGAAGCCAGTCAGCAGTGTGGAAGCTGAGCTGTGGAAGGGATACAGGAATTGGTCACAACAAGTTCTAGAGTGTAACCTTAGGAGCAAGTGGATAAGGTGCATGGAAGAATAAATAACAGGAATACAGACACTTAAAGGACAGAGGAGCAAAGGTTTGGGAAGTATTGAAGATTCATGAACAATGGGATCATCCTAAATGATTGATAGGAGTAGCACTGGTGAAAGTGACATTAAACCCATTAAATCAGTGCAAACATGCATGAAGAACAGGAGAGGTGATCCAATGGTATCAATAACAAGATGGAGGTGGTGAAGATATCAGAAGATATCAGAAGATATCAGAAGATATCTGATGATGTGAGTTTTGACAAGGGGAAAATGGTCAGAAGCTGTAGTGAGGGTAAAGGAAGATGTCTCCCCTCACTAGAGGCCCAATATGGATAAGAAAGGCCAAGAGGTACCATTCATGATGACTCAGCAAACTAGGATGAGGCTGAGAATGTGGAGACTTTGTGGTTCTAAATCTGGACACTGAATTCCTAAATCCCCAGGCAGGTTTGAGAATCTGGGGGAAAGGGAGAAATTGAGACCAACTTTATGCTGACCTGTCACTTCCTCTTGACTGGACCACCTTCCCACCCGGTCTAGATATCTTAGAATATAATCGGGGCGGGTGGCAGGACATAGCATAGGTAGGACTGTCCAACCGAGTGATTTCAGCTGCCTACTCTGTTCCTGAAACAGCTTCCCTCATTGTTTCTCCACCTCCAAGTTATTGACTTGAATGTTTAGACCGGCTTCTATGGAGAATAACTTTCTCTTTCTAACTGAGTTATGAGTCAATGGGTTCCAAATAACTGACCAAAATTATTTTGATTAGTCTCCAAATCTACTTGCTCAGCAGAAAGTTGTTAGTGTTGGTTAGTGATTTATTTATTTTGATTTGATATATGCATATACTGTGGACTGGTTAAATAACCAGATTAGTTATTGCATCCCCACCCTGCTTACCGGGTGTAGTCAGGAGTGTTTCTGTGGGTACCTAGGTGAGCAGGATTGCTCTCAGATCCCAGTTGAGAGGGTCTGGAACTGAGTTTCAGGGATATTGTCACTAATCCCTCTGCATAATTGAGTCTGCTCTAGAAATTCTCTATTGAATTTCTCAGGTACGTCATTGTATTCTTCAGCTCTAGGATTTCTGTTTGGTTCTTTTTTTTATGGCTTTAACTTTCTTATTAAATTTAGTTAACGCATGAATTGTTTTCCTAATTTCATTTGGTTTATGTGTGTGTGTTTTATCTCACTGAGCTTCTTAACATGATTATTTTGAATTCTTTTCAAACCATTTCTAGAATTCCACTTATTTGAAGATCAGTTACTGGCGCATCCTTAGTTTCCTTTGATGGTTATCATGTTTGCCTGATTCTTTCTTTTCTTTATGTCGCC